AATTTCATTAAGTTTTGTTTTGTTGCAACTGTACATAATATTAAAAATAATCAACAATAACTCAGACTACTGTTGTAGTTATCAGTCTGAATTGAGAAATTGTTAAAGGTGCTTGGTAAAATAGCTGAACTACAAACTATTCAACTTAAGAAATCTTGGCTGCACTCCAATTTGGAAAACATGATACTGAAAGTAACATTTTTTATTTTGTTAGGAGTAGCTTGATCAAAGGTTTGTAATCATGACTGAAAAAAACAAAAAACCTGTATTTCAAATAACTAGTTATTGTTGCTTTATAACTGTGCCAGAAATATCTTCAATCATCATAAATTTAAATTGTAAAACTAAAATACTAAGTTTCTTTGGAAAGTTAAACTTGTTATTTATGTTGACAAATCTGAAAGTGGTTAAAATCAATCCCAAGAAAAGGAAAAGAATGGACATCATTTTTGAGAAAAGACTTTTTTCCAGATTTGTAACAGAACTGAAACATTATGTACATCGTGTCTGTACTTACACTAATGTGATGTGTATGCCTAGTTAGATAAAGTCTTTTTTTATTTATTAAACTATAAAACAAATACTAATGAGCTAAATAAACCTTGTTAAAGATTGCTGTTTTAGTAATTTATTGTAAGTTTAAAAATTAAAACATTTACTGTCACCTGTTAAAAACTCTTATGACATCTAATAGCTTTTCTGGTGGTCATAGTTTTAAAAAATCTCGTGAGATATTACTGGGGTTATTGCTATAGTTAAGGCCAATTGATGAATCAATGGTTTCTAATCATTATAAGTTTTTATTTCACGACATTGCATACTGCTACTTATAACAATGTATTAAATATATTAATTACTGGGTTGATTTTTAGTTCTGATCTATGTAAGTAATTTTCTTTAATCAGAATGTAGTGATAATTATTTTTTTCAGTTTGTTTGGATGCCCAAGGTGCATTAATATTAGGTTTTCTGATCAACTAGTGAATATTACCTGTCAAGGTTCTTGGACTTTAGAACTAATTTAAAAATAATAATAATAATTGAGATAAGTCTAACCTGTCTAAATTATTGCCCTTTGAGTTTTTTGGAAGGATTTAGTTTGTAATATTTTTTTGGACTTTTATCATTCTCGTCCTTGATTATTAAAACCTTTTTTTATTTTGTGAATATTTAAGGCATTTTACCTAACTTCTGCCAAACTCTGACTTGCTTTCTTTTCTGTCCCCTTCTCAACTGAATGCTAAATTTTGCCTTTTGACAACTTTGAATTTTATATTAAATGTTTTCTTTGATTAGTAAGTTTGTTTTAAATTTGCTAATATCTTTATTCTAACTCGGTACATAAAATTGATGTAAAAGCTGAATTTTTTTCTTGTAGTTTTTAGTATTTTTATTATTGTTGTCATGGTTCACTTGACTTTAAGTTATATGTTGTACTGAATGTTTTTTAATGTTGTTTCTAGTTGTGACTGAATTTTATGTATCACTTGAATTTATTCTTGCTATTGTAGAAAATAAGTAAATATGGCTAACCTATGAAAGAAGCCATTGTTGTGGCAAATGTATTGTTAATATTGTTGTGTAACCTTCATGATTGAAGTCTAATAATAAAGTTCATTGCAGCTACATAACATGTTTTGTATGTCAGAGATTTTATATATCTTTTTCATGTATTGCTTTGATTAATTACTAAAACCTTTTTAATGGTAAATTGCATTTTTAGACATTGTATAATTCTTTGGAAGGGCTTACTTTAACACATTCTTATTTGTTAGTTTACCATTAAATGCAGTTCAATAAACTCTTGTTACAACTTTCTTTTTTTTTGCCAGACTTTCCACAACCAAGAGTTCCAGTTATATTGGCACCCTTGTTATACCCTCAAAAACAGGAAATTCTTATGGAAAAAGCAGTTTCTGAAACATCAGCAATGGCTAAACAGGTATGTTCCTAAACTGTGAAATATTCTTATAGATGCTCATTCACTGTAAAAGGAATTATTTGGTTGAAACATTTAAAAGTTGTTTCCCAGGAGACCAAGAAGAAAAAATTCCACTGTCAGAAAAGGCAATATAAAAAGAAAGCATAATGAGCAAATTTTTATTTGTGCTTGAGTTGATGTATTGTGAAGTTAAAAGTGAGATAGCAGTTCCTCATGTTTTTAGTTGTTCACAAAAAAAAGGAAGAATATTGATTTGGAAGTAGCATTTCTTTTTAATTTTATTATTTTAATTTAATTAAAAAAGTTAATATTGCAATTTAAGACTAAAGAATGATCTTATAATTATATTGACAAAAAGTTAATGGTTATTGATGCGAGAGGATGTAGGCACAAGCTGTTCATCTAAATTAGATGTTAATGACCTATTGGTGTTTATTTTGAATTAAATTAGCCTTCTGTTTTTGATAATAGAGTAATAATTGATTGTGCTAAAGCATCTATGTATTAGTCGTCATTTGATAAGTAGAAAGAGTTAACATATCTGATAAAAGCACCTAAAATAATAAACACAGTTTAGTTTTGATGTATACATATTGTGTGAAATGTTGTCAGACTTTTTTACCTTCTTTCAGAGATTACGTTTTCTTAAAGATTCTTATTTTTTAGGTTGATGATTCTGTGGCAGATCTCGTTAGGGAAATGGGATACTGTTTTACTGCAAGGTATTGTTGTTATTTTTTTCGTTTGTCTTGTTATGATTATAAAAAAAATATATATTTTTGAATAGTCCCATTTGTTATGTTTTATGAGAAATTAGAACAGAACACTATCTTCTTGAGAATAATTTGCATGAATTTGCTATAAAACATTCACAAAAACTCCTATTGACTTACTCAGGTGTAATAGATATCATTACACACTTGAAAATCTTAATGACTTAAATGTATTTGATATTATATATGAACATGTAATATTTTCAACCATTACTTTGGGCAATGTGGCCCTGTTTAGCTTGCTGAAATATTCATCTGGGTTGGTGGTGGATGGTGTTGACTAGCTGCCTTCTCTTTAGTCTTATCATTTCAAAATTGGGGATGGCATGAGCAGATAGCTCTCAAGTAGCTCTGCTTGAAATTCAACAAACATACACAAAACTTCTGTTTAATTTAATACTTATTTAGTGACTATTTTTTACTGGTAAATCAGTATAGTATATCATCACCTAATAGGCAGTATGTGCACTTGTACACTCCAAAATTACATGTTGGGGTGAAGTTATTTAAGGTACAAAAATAATATATATTTCTAGTTTAAAAATTGACTGTTTCTTTAAAAACCACAAATTTGGACAAATATTTATTTTTTATCTGGTAAACAATGATACAGAAATATGTGATGGCAATGTCATATCCACCATGCTATACTTAGGCTGTAGCCACCCTTTTTATCAAATAAACTCACCTCTTTATTACTGAAATCAAAATATACATTGTTTATAGTAGAAAAAATGCAAAATATTATACTAAGAATATTTTTTTTATTAGGTTCTGTAGTTTTTTAATACACAAAATAACATGATGAAAAAAACCTTTTATTTACTAACAAGTATAAATTATAAGATTAGTGTTCATGAAGCTTTCTGCTTTTGGCAATTTTTGATGATTATCAGTAATTAAATATTAATTAATACAAGCAGCTATTTGTGCTAGTAATTACTAATCATAGTATTCATAACTCAATGAAAAAATTTAGAAAAGTGAACATATTTGAAAAAAGGATTTTTTTTCTTTTGAGAAGTACTGCGTGGGAAAAGTGTTCAAATTATGCTCTTTAGTCATATGGAACCCATTGCATCAAAGTGATTCAATGTACAGACCTCAAAATTTTCATACATCTTACTGATATAAACTGTAATGTTTTTATACGTTAAAAGTGGTACCATTTATTGAAAAAAAATAAATTTTTTTAATATCTCCAGTTTTTCAGTACTACGTTTAAAAATTACATCAATAAAGATATAATCAAACCCTCATGTACAGTCCTAGTGAAAGTCATGTTCTTGTTGTTTATTTAAAATTGTGTTCTATTATAAAGAAGTGGTTGTTGCACATACCACAGCTGAAATTGTCTGAATCTTGAATACCCAAAGTGTGAAATTTTTATGATTTTTGGTTGTGGTGCCATTCACTAGATAGCACAAAAGTTTTGTTTACATATATACTGACATACACACTATGTCCATTATAGTAAGATTAAAGGCAATTGTTTTTGTGTTATGTTTTTCAGTGTGGAAGATTGCAAGACAAACTTATTACATTTATGTCAGAACCAGATTATGCCATCTGTCGTAGCCAGAATTTTATCTGTGATGGCAAGAACACATACAGGGCTTGGTGATAGTATTTCATTACAGGTATTTTATTTTATATTTTAAAAATCTTATTTTTGTACCAGTCATCATTTAAAAAATATATACCTAAGTATGACTTTGCTGAGAGAGAATGAGACATGATAATTTTAAGTGTATTTCATAATATGTAAGTATAGTTTAAACACACTTCTGACCTAGAAAATCAAAAGAATAGTTACTTTAACTCTCTCAGCACAGGCTCGGTCAATTTGACCGACAACTTGACCTCTTTGTACTTGTTTAAAGTCTTTATAGTTTTTATACTACTAACTTTAATATAGTATATATTTCTTCACAAAATTTGGCAGACTTTCAGTAGGCATTATAAGTCTTTCACATATAAAAAAATATTTTTTTTTATGAAATTATTTTAAATAAATTAAAAGAGTTGTACATGAATATATCAAATATTTTTTTTGACTAGTCCCTGTGCAAAATGATTTTCATGTTAAGATTAAAAAATACTTTTCTTCATCTCAAAAATATCAATTTTCATTTGTGTAATCTCTAAAACATCCTAAATACATTTCAAATGTTTGTTTTCAGTAAAACTATATTTTATAAGTTATTTTTCTACCTTAACTCTATACAATGTTGGTTAATTTGACTGACCTAGTAACTACCAAATAAAATCGAAATAAATCTAAATTATCCTTTTTTTTCTTTCCAGAATGAAACTACATTCGTTTATCCTAAGTAGCTTTAAACTCATAACACTATACATCTATTTATACTTACATTTTATTGCACTTTGAACTGTTTTAACTACCGTTTGCACCATTATAAATTGTAAGTCACTTGGGGAATGTGCGGTTCACATTACATTATCGAATTACATTACCTATGAGCTACTCTGAGCTGCAAGTGTGTGTGCATGCTTCGTGAAACATTTTTATTATATTATTATTATTATTTATTTTACCAAATCTAACCTTAGCTAACTTAAAGAGATCCCTATTTTTACATTTTAATTACTTTTATAATAAGAAATAAAGAATAAATATGAAAAACGAGATAAAGTACTTACCCGGGTATTCTTTTTTTTTTAATATCGATTGTCGATGACAATTGACCCTACTTTTTTATATTAATGGTAGTAATGCATTAAATAATGCACCAAAGAACATAGAATAATAACATGCAAAAAGTAGACAATTTCCCCTAACTATCACAGTTCTTCTGGCTTCTTAACTATGTGACAAGAGCCGTTACAAATGCATCCAAGGTAATCATTATTTTTTCTGTGGGAATGAAGCTTGTACTAACAGAAAAATTGACAATTCTCCATTCAGAAAACAACGTAATATAATATGTTATTTTATAGATGAAAACCTTGGCTTTCTATTGGTTATACATGATATTGAATTAAATGTAAGAGAGAGCTATTAACAAACCCTGAAGGGGTCTGATTTTCTATTTGATGACTCTTTAACCAAGGGGAAATTCAGGAATTTTTTAAATATTGTATCATAAAATTAAGAACTTAAAATTTATATACTATTAAAATATGGGTTATTAGCTATGATTGTGTGTTATACTAATTGGTATAACATAAATAAAAAGTAGTTTAATGAAATTTTGAATCAAAGTCACTAAAACCTCGTGACATGCGCAGTAAATGATGTCCAGACAAAGAAGGTTAATATATCTTAGTGTTATAAAATCATATGGATGTTTTTAGCCATGTTCTATATATACACTATATTATTAAAAGCATTGAATAGTTTCTTTTGTATGCCTTAATGTTATAAAAATCACACATAGGTTTTTAGCCATAGTCTTTTAAACATTATATTGCAAAGAGCACTGAAAGATGGATGTTTCTTAGTGATATTTCTACCTTTTACTTGGTGATACTTTTTTTTTATTATTATCATATCTGAAGGTATTGAGACACTCAGGTCATCTGTGCTGTAACTAATAACTATTCACCTGAAAAAACCTGTTATTTTTTTCCCTTGCAATATCTTTACTTCAGCTTGCTGCCTGTAGCAACAGTGCATCATAAAAATCATGTTAAATTTCAAAGAGTATGGGGCTTCTTACTAGTTGAGAGTGTGCTGTTTTAATACTTTTAGTATTATATTGTATGTTAATAGTATTAAATATTGCACACACATTTCAATCTTATATCAGATAACATTTCCTTTTGTGGAATTAATGGATGTAAAAAATATACCACCCTTGCAATCATTCTTTTGTATCTATATGACCAAATATTTACCAATCTGGATTTTACAAAAACATCAGAATACTTCTGTCTTTCCTCATTTCATGAGTATTAATTAATAGCTTAACCCTTTTGCCCCGGTTATTCTTTACTGCACATGACACAAGGTGTTAGTGTCTTACATTCAAAATTGTATTGAACTCTTTTTATGTTATATGTTATACCAATTAGTATAGCATAAAATGTTAGCTAATAAGCCATATTTTAATATTATACAGGTTTTAAGTTCTTAATTCTACAAGGAAATATATAAAAAAATCCTGAATTTCCACTAGTGTGACCCATTTACTTTAGGTATCTTCTCATCTCTATTTTATCCACTCCCCAGAAACTATGAAATTAAATGTAAATTACTCACTATAAAATCATCATTACTCAGACACACCATAATTTTTATAGCCTTCAATGTTATTTGGTTACAGAGCTATCAAATAGAAAATCAGACCCCTCTTGCCACACCCCCCTGTCACATCTTCTCTCTTTCAGGATTTGTTAATAGTTCTTTCTTATGTTTAATTACATATTCCCTATAACCAATAGAAAGTCAAGGTTTTCATCTATCAAATGATGTATTGTATAACATTGTATT